GAAACGTGATATTTTCACAATTATTGTCTTAATCTTATTCTTTTTCTTCTCTTCATACCCTATTTGTTGCTTCACGCTTCAGTTATTTCATTTTTTATTTCTTCGTTCGTGGCTAAAGAATGCTAATAATATTAAAAAAAAAGAAAGAATCAATAATGTAAGATTAAAAATATTCTTTTATAAAATATATAATGCCACAAAATAAGAGGTCAAACGGAAAAAATAGAATGATGAAACTTAATAGTTCCTTTCGATTGTACAAGTAATTCACGTGCATTATCAGCAATTAATTGATGTATACGAGTAGTAAAATGATATTCATCAATAAAAAGACAAGTATCAGGAGTTGAACATACGTGAACAACAGTATAATTTGGTGTACTCCAACAATTTGTCGTACTGTTTATTCCATATGTCGAAGGATTTATAAGAATATTGGTAATGAGTGAATAAACATCAAATAATTTAAATGATATTTTCGGAAAAATCAATTGAAGTAATCGAATTGAATTTGATAGATTATGATTATGTTTAAGTGTAAGTTTCTTTAAATAATCAGGTATATTTAAAGCTTGATTAGCTGGATATGCTTGAAGAGGTGATTGATTAACAATAAGAAAATGTTTTGCACCTATTTCAATTAGATCATTTATTCCATTAATTAAACTTTTAACAACAGCTGATGGCGATAAAGCTAAATTAAGTTGATAATCATTTTCACCAACCCATATTATATAGATCGTTCGATGAAAATTAATCTTCCTTAAATCAATAGTATTTTTGTATATAGCTATCTGTTGACGAACACCTGGTACTATCACCTGAGATGCTCTGAAACCTTGTACTAAGTTATTATCAGTAGTAGCACCTCCATATGCATAATTCATAAGATTAGATATTCCTAATTTTTCTATCCAAACTTTTCCATTAGAAAATCGACCTTTATAATAAGGTGGATCAATAGGCCATTTTGAACCTGTTAACTTATAAACATTTCCAGTATCAGAATTTGAATCACCAAAACAAACAATTGTATCATGCGGAATTTCTTTGGATTGTATCTTATAAACATAAAATATCAAGATAAGCAAAAACAATCCATTAGATAGTCGACAAACATACATGTTTTTATCCTACATTAAGAAATGTTTTTTTTTACTGTACCTTTCATTTATAATACTTCATATATAACGAATGAATAATATTGGTGGTATTGAAAGAGAGATAAATACATGTATAATCCCATTTTAAGTATGATGTGTGCAGATATGAATCATTCATCCATTACTTGCAATCACATGTCTATTTGTATATATATATATATATGATGAAAATCAGACAACGGTCTCTAAATGAAACTAACTGCTTATAAAAGAAAAAGATTATTTGGCGGATGTATTATGCATAAAACTAAAGTGAAATATTTCATTCAACTATAATACAAATGAATTTTTCTTGTATACAAAAGATGAGCACACTAGCAGGTAGTGTAAAATAGCACTCTCCTTGGTTGAGAGAATTACATAGGCTATTTAGAATATCAATAAAATAATTTGATAATGGGTGTTCTTATAATGTATATGGACTTGTCCGGCTAACGGTCAACTAGAGTGATTAAAGTAGACGCTGAATATTTTTAGAAGCTAATAATATCATATTATAGAGCATACCTTACTATGTTAGAAAATATGTTTTATTATATCTTTTCTTTCAACAGGTGGAGAAAACATGCACACAAGAGACTCGGTATGTTTTTCAAAAAAATTTGCTATTTTCTTAGATATAAAGAAAACAATAGAAAATGGTTGAAAACACAACCGAATAGGAAGTAGGGATACATATTCTAAATGTGCGAAGTTAGGGTTTTCTTCATATATAATTTTCAACTGATCCATGATTGTTAGAAGAATATGGAGGTTACTTTAAAACTTGATAAATTCTGATGTGAGTGCATTACCGAAAAGGATTCTTTGTTTATTTTACGCTACAATCGCAGAGAATTTTCTTCTAACCACTCAGGATTCTTCGTTAAATTTTTACAAGGTATCTAACACTCGACTTATTTTTCGGATATTCCTTTCTGTTGACAAAAAACTTGGTAACACACTCACGTAACCAACATTTTTGTATAAGATGTTTTTAGGACCTTATGATTGATTATGTCAGCTTATGCCCATCACACAGATCCCAATGTGATCGCTATATTGATGATGATAGAACAACTATCCTGTCTGCCAAAAAGTAAAAAAACTTACAATAAAAATTTACTATAACAGAATTTTATTAAAAAGAGACCTCAAAATTCAATAAGAAATTGTTTCCAGACGTTTTGCATTTCAAATATAGTGATTAACTTCTAGCATATTAAAAAACATGTTAAGTTAATAATAAGACGAGCCAAAGTAGGTAAATACTAACTTGTTATATAGGAATATTTTGGTCTAGGCCTTCAAGCACTGGAAAAAAGAGAAATGACACTTTAGTTATTAAGATTGAAGAATGACTTGGATCTTTAAGAATTGAAATTGCCAAGCAAGTATGAGTGGTTTTCATCAATAATAATATTATAACATGAAAATAGCATGATACTATTGAAAAAGAACTTCTTCAGTAGATAGGCTCAACTAATCGACGCAAATCTATCCTTGAGTTGAAATCTTTGAGGTCTTCGGGTTCACCGAAATTTTCAAAACCTGGATATTATCAGAAAAGAAACTCGTTGTGCGAATTTAGTACTAACAGGCGATTTTCCATGATCAGCACCTAGTGTAAAATCCCTTAATGCGAAAAGCATCGAGATAAAACTCCATTCCCGGTTTATCCGATAGTCTGAATTCTAAGGTTTCCGCTCTTTTCAGTGAGAAATTTGGCTCGAAAGTACAAATTAAAGAGTTCGTTCTAATTTTCAGAGCACCAGAAAAATATCCGGTGAGTTTGCATGTTATACTGTATGCATATATTAGAAGGTACTGTCTACTGAATATAGGATGTTTTTTAACGACTTCTTTTCTATATTCCTGAGAGGTGTAACGAGCCATATTTATAACCTAACATTAAGACTCATAGTAGTTCGAAAATGAAAGAAAAGTAAGCCTTTCTGTAACCTAGAATCTATAACAGAAAGCAATAAATCATCAAAAACAAATGATCAGAAAGCGAATCACAAAATCGATTTGCATGAAACTCATAGAAGTTAAAGTGTTTTATTATATACATACATACTTCAAATTTCAAGGCTCTACATTTTATTATTGCTAAGAAAATTAGATCGAACGTTGACAAAATATGAGTGCGTTACCTTCAAACAAGCCCATATATGAAAAGTTTTCATAACATGAAATTAAAAAAAACCACATATACGAAAAATGAATTGCGTGATATATCTCCAAGTAAAAAAATCGATCAACAAAATCAAAATTGATTTGTCGATAATAATCGCAAAAAATCGATAAAATATGCAACATTTTGATTAGATTCGACGAAATAATAGATTAGAATAGATTTTCTCAGGCAATAATCAATTAGCTGATTTTTTTGTCGAATAATCTATTTCTCTTAGAATAATCTGAAAAGCTTGTTAATGCAGCTTCATGAGAGACGATAGTGTGAAACTCGCATCTCTGATTGTTATGAATTTATGATATATTATCAGAGATGTTAAAATAATTTACTTGAATAAATGAAAATGAGAACAATTTTTATAGTTGATATGCGTGCTCTAAAATTTTATTATTTCGAAAATGTTTCCATTTAAAATTTCTATTCTACCTGTTTATTAGATTCATTCAATATCGTTATACTGAAAAGACTTGTTTATATTGCCAGTAGAACCCATCGGGTCCGGCTTCAGAAATTTTTGCACTCGATAGACTTTCACCTCAAAAGTTTAATTAATCAGGTTCCAGTTCAAATTTTTGATCGGGCGGATCTGAATCCAAAAAAATTTTATCGGTCGGATTCGAATCCCACAAATTTTAATCAGTTGGGTCGGGATGCGAAATGTGTTGGACTCGAGGATTCAATAATCTTTGGCTCTACCGCAGTTGCTAGGACCTAGAGATAGCAAGAGCTGCAAAAACTTCGATTCAAACTTCCACTCACTATGTTTTCTTCGAAAATATATACGAGTTTCACAATAATTGACTGAGAATTGAATTGATTGTAATTGATTTTGTATTGTAATTATACCATCTCAATTCGAAGCAATTTGTATACGATTTTCAACTTAGCTACATTTGAGTGACTTCAGTTCAGTAACAAGTTTATAGTTTGTAAACATGAGCAATCCAAATCGTCATGGAAAATTAGGGAGAGTTTGTAAAAGTTTGATTATAATTGATTTTTTTGTTATTAGAAATCGATTATAATGGCATTATTATAATCTATGTTTAATCAGATTTAAAATTATAAAAACTCGATTATTCAGAAACGTCTATTAAAACTGTTTTTTTTTATTTTAAATCTGATTAAATTTGGAGTATAACTGATGTTTAATCACAAAAAAATCAATTCTAATCAGATTTTTTTTGACTTTTCATACATGGAAACTTTTGTAGCTTGAGTAATTTATGGATTTTATGATGTTTAAAATTATTCAATACTGCTCCTCAGTGTCAAGGTGACCAACTTTACAACTATTTTAGAAATTATGTATCATCATGCGCTATAGGTACACCTATTTATTGTTCTCTAAATGAAACTGCTTCATAGTCAAATCGACCAATCAATGGCTAAAAAAGGTCAATGTGTCAATTCCTAAAAGCAGAAAAGTACATGACTTTTGCAATAAATAATTTTTCAGTGAAAGAGGTTCTATCTACTAACAATAAGCTCACCATCTTCTATTATTTTATATACATGAATCTTTCGAAAATTCGACATACATATCATATCCACTCCAAGTTTTTGGCTGATGTCATAACTCTGCATTTAAAAGATTGAAAGACTTGAGAACACCGAAACTATGACTGAGGTTGTAAGTGTATGTATGAGGTACGACTGTGAGTATGGACTGGGGTGGATCCTGTTCGATTCTTTAAATAAGTCTCTTGTGTAACATAGAAATTCTGAATTAGAAAGCCTTGAATTATCACCATGTTTTGTATGATATTAAATTTATTTCGCATAATAGAAAAAGGACATTTACATTTGATAATCAATTTTTGCAAAATCTCTTATCAAACTATTTCGGATCTAAAACAGATTCTTCTGGCAGTCAAAGCAAGTCCTACGACATTAAATTGATGTTTGATTCAAACATTTATTCGTGAAATCAAATGAATTTGTCAAAGTACTTTCAAATAATAGGACGATGTATTAAAATTTAGTATCTCAAACGTAAGACTCAGACCAACAACTTTGACTTGCACTATGTCCGATATGAACTACAAATGATTTGGAAGATGAATAGAAAAAATAGTCTGTTAGAATTCTTTTCATAGAACGTGTCAAAATATTATTCAAAGACTTATGAAGGAAGCATTTCAGCTACCTTCTTCCGATTTCAATGAGTTTTTTGTCTATAGATATAACATTGTGTTCTAATAAAAACTCTTGATCCGAATTTGGATCTGAAATTTTGCATATATAGAAAACTCAACTAGACTAGCTTCTGTAAAAAACTTCAGAAATTTTGAACAAAATCTCTTAGAGATCTGAAGATCTCAACACTTTTCATGTAACATGCATGCAACATGCATTTTATGAAAGTTTCATATCTCCACGAGATTTTGTTCGACCCTTGTGAGCTTTTTAAAAGAAGTAAGTTTAGTTGAGTTCTGTATATGTGACAAGTTTCAGACCAAAATTGAAAAATACGAGTTTTTCGCGTGTAGGTTAGGTGACTTGGAGAAAAATCAACAGCTTAGACAAATTCTTGTAGAGTCTTGATTAGAACACTGTGTAATATCTATAGGCAAATAATCATTGAAATCGGAAGAAGACAGCTGAAAAGATTTTCTCATTATCATCTTAATTATACTTTATTATTTAAATAAACATTAGTTTTTTTTTCTAAACATAAGGAATAGTCAAATCGATTAAAATCTGACATCTGATTGAGTTTTGAAGATTTTCATCATGGAGTAAACTCAAGTAATATTGTTTTATAAAATATATATAATGCTATAAAAAATAGGCAAAGTATAGAAAGTATGATGAAATTTGATAGCTCCATTCGTTGTTACAAGTAATTTACGTGCATTACCACCAATTAATTGATGTATACGAGTTGTAAAATGATAGTTATCAATATAAATATAAGTATTAGGTGTTGAACATAAGGGAATAACAGTATAATTTGGTGTACTCCAACAATTTGTAGTACTGTTTATTCCATATGTTAAAACATTCATAAGAATATTTGCAATGAGTGAATAAACATCAAATAATTTAAATGATATATTCGAATAATTCGATTGAAGTAATTGAATTGAATTTGATAGATTAGTATTATGTTCAAGTGTAACTTTGGTTAAATAATCACTCATATTTAAACCGGAAGCAGCTGGATATGCTTGAATAGGTGGTTGATTTACAATAAGAAAATGTTTTGCACCTATTTGCATCAAATCATTTATTCCATTAATTAAACTTTTAACAACACTTGATGGAGATAAAGAAATATTAAAAGAATAATCATTTCCACCAGCCCATATTATATAAATCGTTCGATTAAAACTAATCTTGTTGAAATCAGTAATATTTTTGTATGTAGTTATTTGTTGACGAATACCTGGTACCATCAGATTAAATGCTGTATAACCTTGTACTAAGTTATTATCAGTAGTAGCACCTCCATATGCATAATTCATAAGATTAGATATTCCTAATTTTTCTATCCAAATTGGTCCATTGGAAAATCGACCTTTTTCATAAGGTGGAGCAATAGGCCATTTTGAATTTGTTAAATTATAAACATTTCCAGTATCAGAATTTGAATCACCAAAACAAACAATTGTATCATATAGAATTTCTTCAGATTGAATTTTATAAACATAGAATATTACGATAAGCAAAAGAAATTCATGGAGTAGTCGACTAATATACATGTTTTACTTGTATAGAAATAAATGTCTGTCACTACATTTATAATTATTAATATGCTATAAGTACGTGATGAATAATACTGACAGTAACGAAAAACAGGTAAACATGTATATTTGAATTTCTGTTATATACGTACATTTTATGTATGACGTATGTGCACATGAATCATTCATCCATTACTTGCAATCGCATATATATTTACGTATATATATGTGATGAAAATTAGAAAGAGACCTATAAGTGAAATTAACTGCTTACAATAGAAAAATATTATTTGGAAGAAATATTATGCATAAAAAAAGTAAAGCAAAATATTTCATTCACTTATAATTTAAATAGATTATTCTTGTATACAAAAGATGGGTACACTAGCAGCTAATGTAAAATAGTAGTGTCCTTGATAGAGAGAATTACATAGGCTATTCAGAATACCAATAAAACAATTTGGTAATGACTGTTATTATAAGGTATATATGAATGATTTTTATAACATGAAATAAAAAGTACGTATACGAAAAATGAATTATTCAATATATACCTATGTAAAAAAAATCCATCAAAAAATCGAAATTGATTTGGCGATAATAATCATAAAAAATCGACAAAATATGTAACATTTTGATTAAGTTCAACGAAATAATAGATTAAATTAGATTTTTTCAGGCAATAATAAATTAAAGTTAATTTTCCGTCAAACAACCTATTTCTCTTAGAATAATCTGAATAGCTTGTCAGTGTGAGCTTGTGAGAGACCATAGTATGAAACACATAAACTCTGACTGTTATGAATTCAGAGAGGTTAAAATAACCTATGGCGCGAAAGTCTTGGCACAAAATGTTCGCTCATTTTTCGGTCATTTAGAAGCAACTAGTAAGAGCCAAAAGTAGTTAGTTAGAATCAGCATTTCTTGCTCTTTCTGAATATATGTTCAGAATTTCCTTCTAATGTAAGGCTGGTCAACTATGATCACGTTTTTTTTGGAAGGATCCAAAATGATGTCTGTACAGAATTTTATTTTAACTAATTTTGTATTTTGATTGAAACCTACTCAATTCAAATTGTGAAATGGTTTTTAGTAGTTCAGTTTTGTAGAGTAAAGTTTGCTCTATAAAATGTGCTATTTGCTTTTCTGCTTTATCTTGCGCCAAATATCAAAAATGTTTTATATTTTAAAAGCAGCTTTTCGAAAAATTTTGTTTTTTCGACAAATATCACTTTTCATCAAAAGTAGTCATTCGGAAAGACGCGTCACTTTTGAGTGATTTGATGTTTCGCTTATTGTAATACTTCATCTTGTAGAGAATTGAATGCTCTACAATAATGTCGAGTCAAGACTATTTGCACAAACTAAGAATCGCGTAAAAATCCTATTTTGCTCTGTACAGATATCATTTTGGACCCTTCCAAAAAACGTAGTCATAATTGACTAGCCTTACATTAGAAGAATATTCTGAACATATATTCAGAAAGAGCAAGAAATGCTGATTCTAACTAATTACTTTTGGCTCTCACTAGTTGCTTCTAAATGATCGAAAAATGAGCGAACATTTTGTGCCAAGACTTTCGCGCCGTAGTTGATACACGCACCCTGAAATTTTATCATTTCGAAAATGTTTCCATTTAGAATTTTTATTCTACCTGTTTATTATATTTATAAGTGATACTTATGGATGTTTAAGTGCAATTATTACACGCTTATGATACATAGGCATTTTTTAATGATGAAAACTCGTGAGCAAATTACGCAGTTAATAAGCCAATCATTTCTTTGTCAAATGACAAAATTATTTGATGCAAAAGAAAACGTAAAACATTATGCAATACAGGAAGAGAGTATAAATAGAAAAGAAATAGTATATATGAACGAGTAAGAATACGATTTTGGTTTATATTCTCAATATGACACGAATTGATATGTACTTCTTTTTCAAATGTTAGTCGTTGTTAGAATTCACTTTTTTTAGTTTTCGTTGTATTCTTCATTCTCGTCGCTCTTGTTCATGCCTATTCAGCGGTAGGTTGTTGGTGTTCCTGTTGCACACAACCTATATCCTATTATGATCCAAGTCGCTGCACTATGGCACCTAGGTCAATTCCAGTGTTTAGATGTGCAGAATGTCAGCCGACTCTCTGCGAACCAAAATTTCCCGGCTACTGTCGTTCACCTAATGTCTGGCTGACGAATTTGTGCTGGTAGATTGAATGGAAATTTAAACGATTGCGATAATTAAAGACTGACAGTAATCAAACGTATGATTACTGATTTTTCAAAGTTAAACGTTTTTTTTTTTGTAAACTTTCGCTGATTATACGTGTTCTTTGTTTTCTTTTTACTTTTCAATATACATTTAAATTGAAAATTGATAAATAAATAAAATATCCAAGATTTCATTGTTCTGATACAATGGTTGAAATTCATTTGCGAAGAAGTTGTGTCATTTGAGGAGGTGAAAGTGAGTAATAGCTATCCCATGAAAAAAAATATGGTATAAAAATGCGTTTCAACGCAAACTTTTAGAAGAAAACGCTATTTTTGCGTTTTAACGCATCGTTTTGTAAGTTCAACGCGTTTAAACGCATCGAGTTCTTTCTCCAGCGCATTTAAATGCATCCTTTTTATTTTGAACGCATTTTTCCAAATTAAAACGCAACTTAAAAACACAGTTTGAATGCGTTTCGTTTTATGCATTTGGATGCGTTTATCTGCTTTGCATTCAAATGCGTTTTTTAACCTTCTTTGATCGAAAAACGAGTTTTTTTCGAAACGCGTTATTATATTGTTCTTTTTGATGCGTTTTTTCTAGAAAAAACGGATTTTTTCGAAACGCATTACAATGTTGTTCTTTTTAATGCGTTTTTTCTCCAAAAGATGGATAGTTTAGAAAAGCGTTTGAACGAATATTTGTATGTAAGTGTTTCCAGTAAAGATGTGCTTTTAGAGAATACAAATCTATTTTAGTTAGAGTAAATGTTAGGTGATATCAATGTGAACATTGAAAAGTTAAAAGGTACTACTCTTCGGAACAATTCTTTGTGATATAATAAGATAAAAAAATAGTCGAATAACATAGAAAACAAAGCATGTATTTAATAAAAAAAAACTAACAACTGAAGATAAGTAGTAATATGTTCTCTAACTAGACTCAGTTAACGTTGGATACCGAATGAAAATAAATTGTTTCGAATTAATAGTAGCATACTTTTTCGATAACATCATCTACATTAGTATGAATATGGTGATTAAAATCAATTGTCCCAAATTCAACATTATCGCAAGAAATTTTTTATGTGTTAAAATTCAATAATATCTCATCTTTTTTGTTATTACGTAAATGATAAAGGCGACTATAAATCTCAGTGTGATTTTTGACTATAGAACGGGATATATGTAGGTTTGTGGAGAAAGACTTTCTCTATCTAGTGGTATATATATTATTAAATTGTGTTGCGTACCGTGGTAGAAACTTGAATAGAAAAAATCATGCATCTTACATCTTACATCTTTTTAAGGAATACTCGTATACTATAATCTATATCATATTGAACCAGCACAGAACCTAATCCAATCATTTATATACCGTTCGACAGCCCACATTATCTACGTTAATAATCTAT